TCCATCAGAAGGCAGTGGGATGGCAATCAACTTTTAAAGCATCTCTGGTGTGCTGCAGAGTTTTCTGAGGCATGTGTTTCAAAGTGATATTACTGAAATTTCAGGCACCTGGCCTGGCTTGCACAGTGTTGGCCCAGTATTAAAGAAGCTCAAAAATCTTCACATTAACTTTCTGTATTTTGGCTATCTTAGAATATACATAAGGATAGAAAAAAACAAAAATGTATAGTGATGCCCAGTTTTTCTATCTATCTTCAAGTTAAACATATAATTCACTCTTTAAAAAAAAAAAAAAAAAGATTTATTTATTTTATTGGAAAGGCAGATGTACAGAGAGGAGGAGACCGCAACAGCTGGAGCTGAACCAATTCGAAGCCAGGAGCTCTTCCAGGTCTCCCATGCGGTGAAGGGTCCCAAGGTTTTGGACCATCCTTGACTGCTTTCCCAGGCCACAAGCAGGGAGCTAAATGGGAAGCAGGGATTAGAACCGGCGACCATATGGGATCCTGGTGTGTTCAAGGCATAGACCTTAACCATTACGCTATTGCACTAGGCCCCTAACTCACTCTTAAACTAGTTTTCAGATTATGGCTACAGAATCCATTCTTGCTTTCTCAAACCAAGCTTTGAAACCATATAGAATAGGATAACCTCTTACTCTTTAAGAAAGGGTAATACAAGTCTAATAGTTCAAGGTTACCTCGAAAGATTGGAACACAGCTTCATTAAATAACTTAGGTCTTTATCAGGCATCCTTGGTGAACGGAGTTAAGGCTCTGCAAACAATCCATTCAATTATTTATGAGCCAAGAACTTGCCAAAGGAATTTTTCAAGAGACTCATGTTTCTTCCCATTATCGTTCACACTGGCATTTCTGCAATGAGTGGGAGAAAATACACTCCTCTATATGCTAATTTAGGATAATTAGTGAAAACATATGCAATTAAATACGGTATAATATGTATAAGGGAAATTAATTCTTGCTGGAAGAAAGGAGCATTATGGTTCCATCTCGTTGTTGTTGTTGTTTTTTAATTGCAATTCATATCCTTCTTACTAGAAAGGAAAAAAAAAAGAGAGAGCTGCCTTAATGACCCTTGCATTGCCACAAGGCTTACCCAAAGCTACTTAGGAGGAACAAGGGTCGGTTTTGGCTTACAGTTATTTTGATTCACAGCTGCATGTCAGGCACTCCGCTGAGGGGAGAGGGTGTTGCTCCCCAAACTTCCCTGCGGAAGTCATGGGCGGAGCCTGGAAACTCAAGGCAACTTGGCTCATATAAACAGCGGTCCTGTGAGACCCGCCCTCTGAAGGCCTTCAGTCACACAAGGACCACCTCCTAGCCCCACCACCTAAACACAGTCGAATTCAATTTCCATCCGCAGAGTGCTTCCACCACATGAACTGGAGGGCAAATTTCTCCCAGAGTTCAGGAATCAAATAATTTTTAAGTGAATGCAAAGGTTTCTCATTCAATACATTTTTCGATGAAAAGATAAATTATCCATCCTAGTTTATTCCTCCCTTTAGTATTCCTAATGCTGACAATTAAGAAAGTCCAGTTGTCTTTAAAATCTTCAGAGGAGTTGTTACTGCAGACTCACCTATCGCATGCTGTCTGCAGATTTCATACTTCATATATATCACACATGTGATTTTAAATTGTAAAATGTTACTTCCCACCCACCCTCCTCCTCTCTCTGTTGTTTTTCTTCAAATTTCACTTTTTGCAATGATCTGCCCTCAGTGCTTTATAATCACAAACTCAATCAGGTGCTGAATTACAGTTCATCCTGCTAGTATTTCTCAACACAAATGGCAAGGACCCCAAAGCATCAAAGTCTAAAAATTAAATTCTGAGACAAAACAAAAGTTAAGATTTGTTGTCTCTGGGATACTTTCTGGGAGGCAGAGGGTTGCAATAATGGAGAGTGAGAAATGTGGAATTAGATAAACCTAAATCCTATTGTTACTACTGCTTTCATTTTCAAATTTACAAATTCTTGGAAACCTCAGAAATCTGAAAAAAAATGAAAATAGTAATGATTATCTTATAAATTATTTGTAAAAATCGGGCCCGGCGCGGTGGCGCAAGTGGTTAAAGGTCCTCTCCTTGCACGCCCGGGATCCCATATGGGCACCGGTTCTAATCCCGGCAGCCCCACTTCCCTTCCAGCTCCCTGCCTGTGGCCCGGGAAAGCAGTCGAGGACGGCCCAAAGCTTTGGGACCCTGCACCCGCGTGGGAGACCCGGAAGAGGCTCCTGGCTTCGGATCGGCATAGTATCGGCCCGTTGCGCTCACTTGGGGAGTGAATCATCGGATGGAAGATCTTCCTCTCTGTCTCTCTTCTCTGTATATCCGCCTTTCCAATGAAAAAATAATAAAAATAAATCTTAAAAAAAAAATAATAAATTATTTGTAAAAATCAAATGAGACAAATATAATAGTCCCACTGATTCAATCACTTTCTTCCTACTATATTGAGTAAGGACACACCTTAGAGACCCCTCCAAGTCTTGCTTAAAGGAAATAGTATCTGAGGGATTTAGGAGGGGAGTTTAATAGCATGCATCCTCCATTTACCATTTTATCCAATGAAAAGAAAATCCGCTGAGAAGAGCTGCAAGTGCCACTAAGGAATGTCCAGCCAACCAGATTAGGAGTCAAGCAGGCTAATGGAGGAATCTCAGGCTTTGGGGAAGACTCATGTTATGCTGAAACCATCTGATGATGCTTTATCTTCATTAAATATTTCAATCATTTGTAAAATTGTTTAACCATGACTGCTTGCTGGGTCATTCAGTAGGTACAGCAGTGTGCAGTCAAATCCTACAGAGGCCAGAGTGAGCCAAGATGTAGTCTGGATGGTGAAGGTGATCTCCATCAGCGTCCCAGGCAATATTACTTGTCCAGTGATCCATGACCTCAAACTAGGAAATCTCCTCCATAGGCAAATAAACAAAAATCTAAGACAGGGTAGAAGCAGGTGAGCTTTATGTCCATATGGAAAAGTAATAGTGACATCACTGTTTGCCTTCCCATATACATGTATAATATCAAATATGGGAATGTATGACACACCGTCTATTCATGAACAATTAAATCTGTGGACTATTATCAGGTGTTGTTCAATTTGGATCAAGTGTTCTTTGACTTTCAATGTGATTGGCAACCACAAGCCAATCTATATCGTTTGAACCTTGCTAGAAAATGAAAAATCCACAAGCAAAATTAGACTTGTGGAACTGCCAGCTCAGAGTCAACTAAGATATTGTTCCTGAGATTCAGTCCTAAGATTGACTCACTGAGCAAACTCGAAGTTTGATTTTTCAGTTTTTCGATTAACAGGAAAAACAGAGATCACAATGTTGGCTGTTCTAGGAAGAGCTACAGCTTTGTTACAGTCCTGGTGGGGGAATGCAGGGGCCACTCCAGGGACAAATCAAAGAATATCTGGACGGCTTAAGGCAAGAGTGGGCTATCACGTGGACCTGACAATGTCTAGGGGGATAACAGTCAATGAGTTATTTTATTCAAAGACATGTAATAAGCAAGAGTTTTGCAGGGAAACTAAAGGTGCTGTAACAAAGGTGAAGATTCAAGAAGACCTCGACCAGTTTAAAGTTCAACTTCCGGCAGGATTAGGTCAACCAGCAAATAAGCAGGTAACTGCAACAGCTGGGATGTTCTGGGAACCTGGGAGACCTGGAGAAAGCTCCTGGCTTTGGATTGACCCCACTCTGGCCTTTGTAGCCCTTTGGGAAGTGAATCAGCAGATGGAAGATTCTCTCTCTCTCTCTCTCTCACTTTTCTGTATGTATGTATATGTCTCTTCCTCTCTGCAAATGATGCCTTTTGAAGAAAAAAAAAAACTCCTTCAAAATATTCTTTTTTTCTTTTTTTAATTCCAAAGTGTGACAGAGAGAAGAGAAAAATGCATACAGACAAATTTTCCATCTGCTGGCTCATTCTCCAAATGGCCAGAATAGACAAGGCTAAGCCAGGCTGAAAACAAATTTGAGAAACCCACCCCATCCTCCCACATGGGTGTCAGAAGCCCAAGTAGTTGAACCATCCTTTGCTATCTTTCCAGATGCAGAAGCAGGTAGCTGGACCAGATGCAAAATAGCTAACACTTAGATATAAAATGCTGGTATGTGATACCGAACATCAGGTCTCATAGATATAGTTTCTTTATTTACTACATTTTTGGAATTGGTATATTTTAACCCTTTGTTAAGACTTGGAGATTGTATTAAATTGTCATCTGAATTGAGGTAGACCTTAATGATATCCTATATGTCAGAACTTAGATCTCTCACGATGAATGTATTTTCAAAACCAAATATTTCATTTATTATTATCTGCAATTGAAGGACAAAGATTGTGTAACATTCTGTGATTTTGTTAAAAGGGTCGTTTGTACTACATGTTTTTGTTATTTTGCAAGGTATTCTTTATATTTCACATGCATTATGTAAACCTCACAATAATTGCAATCAAGCAACCACAAATTACACCTGCTTTTCTATGAAGACCAGTGAAAATAGAGTCAGACAATTTATATATGGAAAAATAGCACGTGACAAGTTAGAATTTGACCTACTTTCTCTATGTTTTCAAAATGTCTCTTGTCACCTTGCCATGCAAATTAAACTTAATCATGAAAATATCAAATAAGTGGACTTTGCCATTTCTGAACTCAGGTTAACAGGGTAGATTAGTAAAGGCCAAATGCAAGAGAAGAGTAAAATATAAATGGAGACTCATCAAAGAGAGAATCATTTCACAATAATTTTGCACATTTTGCATAATCTTTAATGGCCATTTTAAATCACAGTGTGCCCCAGACTTTATGAATATAAAACACACTCAACTTCAATGTTTCTTAATGTGCTTGTAGCTCATACTTGGAATTGCATTCCACTATGATTTGTTCCCATTTTCATTAAATCTTTGGCTTTTAAAAAGTTTTATTTCTTTCTCCTGTACACTCACCCATAAAATATGTTGAGGAATCATATTTCCTCTAGAGGCCTTTTTTCCAGGTAGTGTATATTTCAAAATGATGGCCCAGAGGTGGAATAGAGATTAAGTAGAAGAAGATGCATTGAGAGGGAGACTGCATCTGCATTTAAAAGAATAAAGCAGAGAGAGATCTGAAGAGGAAATGGGTTCTTGGCTTAAAGTATCAGCCTTTCTTAATATGGGAAAGGACTGGTATTTTTCACCGGAGCAGAATTTTCCTGAAACGGTACATTTATTCACAGTTCTTAAAGCTTGGAAAGCAAGGACTCAGCTAAAAAGTTTGAAAATTTAATAAAATTCTGATTTCTCAAGAAGTTTTCCGGACTGAGTATATACAAGATTGCAAAGGTGTTTAGTCGAGGCTTAAACAGTGTTTCTGAGGTTAGTGATAGTGTTACAATAACTGTTTACAAGATTAAGACAGAATGAAATACTCAAAATACAACTGTGCCTAGTTATCAAGGAGGAGAGTGGTAACCCTTAAAAACGAAATACCAACTATTATGATAGTGGTAAATCAAAAATATGTCTATTAATTCTTTCTACTAGATAGTTACTTCTTGAAAATAAAAGCTGCCCAAAGAATGATACATGGGGATATAAATGAATGTAAAAATACAGAAAAACAAAAACAAGAATTTTTTGTTTATTACAGTGTAAGTTGTTTGAATATATGCAATATGTCCTCTTTTTCTTCTGACATCACTTTCACCCTGAGATCTTCAAAAAAAAAGGTTAATCCATTATTTGTGGTTCAACAACTATAACAAAATAGACTATCTTTCATTAATTTGTATTATAACATGGAAAAACACCCTAGGTGCTTGAATTCAAACTATGTAACTCCTACTGGTTACCATTTGTTAGCACTGACTCTAGAAAAGCAAAATATAATACAGAATTGTGATATTTTTTAAAGTATAAGCCAAATTATACCACTGGATTATGAATAGTTTAATATCTGGTTAAATAACTTCATAGGACCAAGTAACACAGGATATATGTATAAAATTGGATATTATATATATGATATAAATTTATATATATATATATAAATTGGATATATATAAATTGAATATATATAATAGGATATAAAATCATATATATATATATAAATTGGATATATATATATTCCTAGCCAGATCATAAATACTATTAAAATGAGAATAAAACATGATAAAACAGAGCATAAGATATATCACTTAATGTTAAATATCAAAATAAATATACGTCTTATGAAAAGACACTGGTACCCATTTCAAAAATATTTCAAAAATCTTATGAGATTAAATTTGGTTTCCAATTCATACAGAATGGTAATGCACAGCTCATTTACTTTATTAGGCAAAGGTATCATCTCTGTCTGAAACCTTTGTAAAACAGGACATTCTTATGTTGAATTATCCAAGATGCAGAGCAGGAGCCAAGGCTGTGAGTGTTTAAGATTTACAAGATAAATAACCCTAGAAGAAACTGGTTAGGGAGTAGCAGACTGTGGGATGGAAAACAGAAATAAGCTAGGCAAGAATGGAATTTCACAGTTCCAGCCTCAGCAGGAACCTACAGGGAACTATGGGTATATATTACATCTCAACATGTGTAGCCCCAGGAGGTGTGGGAACACGCATTAGTCACTGGCTGCTGGCAGCAGTTCTAGGGTACCTGTGGGGGAGAGTGTGACTCAGCAGGAGGCAGAAGTACACTGTCTATTTCACAGTTGATTATCTGCCTGTTTGAATCGAGGACCATTCTGTCACACATAAGAGAATACCTCAAGCTGCTTTAAGCAAATAGAAATTCATTAAACCATTATCAGAGTATGTCACAAAATACTGGACAGGACTAATAGCTTGATCACACCAGGGATTGAATCTGGAGATGAGAAAGCCGACAGGAACGGAAATACCCTTCATCCTCTTTCCCAATGTATCTGTTGACTGTTTTGTTTCTGAAAACTCTCTTTCTGTTGGCCATCGGCGTACTGGGAGCTAAAAGATGACCATCATAAACTTTTCCCTCTAAGGAAAATGTGAACCTGCACTAACATTCTGAATCTCCCAGTTCAAGGTGATGTAAAAGGAAATGTGACTGGGCCAGATGCCAATCTATTCCCTCAATCTCCCACTGGGGAGAATGCCAAATAATAAAACACCTTGGTAAACCCATCCAGCAGCACACAGAGAATGAGGGTGGACTCCACAGGGATCCCAAAGCATTTCAATTGTACCACACCATGCATAATTCCACTCTATGTAAAAGAATGTGCTGAAATTAGAAATTAAATGTTGAGATTTCAGGTGGATTTATTTTAAAGACTTGGTGTGACACAAAAGCAAATTATGAGATATGTTGACTAAGGTTTTAATCATCCCCTAATTCCAATAATGTCAATAAAAGCTGGAAATTCAGAAACGCATCACATAGCATACCATATGTTTATCATTAAAAATTATAGAGAAAATAGAAAATAATGTAAATATGCTTCATAAACAGTATCAAAATACATTGTTGAGATATTCAAATTGTGGTCATGTAGATTATTAAACATCATGGATAAAAGGCTTATTCATTCCAAAGTGAAAAATCAGAATACAATACTAGATAGGAACTCATAAAACAAGCAGGGTAAAAAGAAAAAACAGAAAATAAATCACACAACAGTATTCATGATTGAATCAGAATCGTGAAATCAATAAGCATTTGTTTGAACTACATACAATGTATTTTTCTTTCTTTTTCTAACATACACTACAGTTTAGAAAATTGCTGAAGTGTTATCCCTACCTTCCGTATTGCATGTAGTTTGTATTCGCTAGAGCTATTTCTTACCACTATTTGATGGGCTACTAGCTCTCTTGAAACCTATTACTTTCTGAAAGGATTTTATAAGTTAAAGACTGTATCACTAAGTACTTGGAAACTACTGAGAGGAAAATAGAAAAAGCCAGCTTAAGTAACTACTGTGAAAAATATTTAGATGGGTCTGGGGAAGTGGCTCTGTTGAAAAAAAAATACTGGAAGTAGAAAGAGCCATAAATCCTTACAAGTATCTAAAACTGTCTAATACAAAGCAGCAGTGAGGCAGGAGAGTCATGGCATTTAGTGTATCTCCTCTGAAGCATTCAGAATAGCTATACAAAAGATGGCATTGTGCGCATGCTCAAGCACCCATCAGTCATGTACATTCTTTATCCAACTTAACTGTTAGCTTGATTCTCCCAACTATTCACAGGGAATGTTATTAAATTATAAAAATGAAAAAGATAGTACAAAATGGCAAAGAAATCTAACAATTTATATTCAACATGCTCATAATAATTAATTGAAAAACGGCTTTTTTTGTTTGAAACTGTTAGATACAAAATGGCACCAAAACAGAGGGACTACCAAGACCAGAATGATGGTAAAACCAAGTTTATTGAAATGTGCTCCCGGGCAAGGTTCATAGGACTGCAGGATAGCTAAGGTCCACTGGCTGCTGAAATCCTGTCTGCACTGAGCCACGCACTCCCTAAGGAATGGTGATGACGGGGCTTGATGTAAAGGTATGTGTTGTCTTCTGATTGGTCAGCTCTATTAAAATGGGAATGGGGCAGCAGCTGTTCTCGGCGGGAACTTTTGGTGCCACCTAGGGATTTCCCGCTTGCCCCCAGGTTCTCCAGGCTAACAGAAACTATTTTGAGAAAATGGTGTTATCCGTAAATTATGTCTGCACAAATATTGTTGAAGAGAAAGAGGGTAAAAGGAGAGTGAGGTTTGTAGGATTGTCTCGTTGGAATTATATCTATGGCATGTATAAAATCTGTTCTCTTTATATAAATAAAAAGAGATGAAAGGAAAGGAGTAATGTCATTATCATGGTTATAACATGCAAAGTAACACTTTACCAAACTGTGTTCTGTAGAAAAACAGATCCCCAAAGATATTTCTCCGAGAAAACAAATTGGAGTGAAATCTATCCTACAGCACTGAACATGTGATGTTGGCAATGAGCAATATAATCCGAAAGAGTACTGCAAAAAGGAAAAACATTTTATTAAATTTTTATTAACATTTCCAAACTTAACACCCATTTTAACCTTTGAGGTAATTTAGCTTTTTAAAATTTTTATTATTGTTTCTCTTCAAAAATAATTAGCTTCATCCAATTAAAAATAAATGGAATACTCCATGAATAAAGTCTTAGACTGAAAACAGTAGCATCAACATTGACCATTAGAATGGTCAATGCTATTGAATGCTTTTGACCATTAGAATGAGTCTTACATTTTTGGTAAAGAATTTAAAGAGCAATTAATGATAGATAATTAGAGACTACACAATAAAAAGGAAATTACTAGCTCCAGGAAAAACAAGAAAGAATAAACAGGTAATTTTAATACACACTAAAAACCAACTGTATATAATGTCTTCTTACTAAAGTGAGTATGGATTAAACCATAAGCTGTCCAGAATATTGATGAAATGCAGGAAGGGAATTTTCTGTGTATGAGTAATAGTAATGTCTATGTGTATGATAAACTCTTCCATGGAATAATGGCAAGAGATTCTGTCTATAACTTTCAAAAGAAAAAAAAATAAATTTATCATGTAGAACATACAAACCTAGGGACTGGCATGGTGGTATAATAAGCTAATCCTTCACCTGCAAATACCAGCATCCCACATGTGTGCCAATTTGCAGCCCAGCTGCTCCACTTCCAATCCAGCTCCCTCCTCATGACCTGAGAAAGTGGTGAATGGCTAAGTTCTTGGGACCATGGATCTATGTATAGGGGACCCAGATAAAGCTCCTGATTCTGGTTTTGGCTCAGATTGGCTCAGCTCTGGCTATTGTGTCCGTTCAAGGAATGAACCAGTAAATGGAAGACTTCTATGTCATGTCTTCTTTGCAAAAGATGTCTTTCAATTACAAATAAACAAGTATTTTTTTTAAAAAAACCAATGTATTAAAAAGTAATTTTTATATATTAGAAACGTTTGAATGAAAATGTCAAAAAGAAATACTTGGTAACATAAATATTCCTTGTGTGTGTGTTTTTTTCTCTCTTGTGAATTGAAAGACTACTTATAGGCAAAAAAAACCAAACCTAATATAAT